CAGGCACAGCTGGGGGGGACACTGGGGCTCTGTGGGGGGTCACATGCCCCCCCCTCCTCCCTGACCCTCCCGGGGTATGGGGTGAGCCCCTGGGGTCATGAAGTGAGCCCTGAGGATGTGGGGTGAGCCCTGGGGATGTGGGGTGAGCCCCTGGAAGGATGGGTTGAATGCCCAGGGAGCATGGGGTGAGCACTGGGGACATGGGGTGAGCCCTGGTGGTGTGGGGTGAGCCCCTGGAGATGTGTAGTGAGCCTTGGGGATGTGCGGTGAGGCCCTGGAGGGATGGAGTGAGCCCTCAAGGAGCGTGGGGTGAACCTCTGGGGACACCAAGGAAATTCTGGGAATGTGGGATGAGTCCTGGGGATGTGGTGTGACCTGTGGGGGGGCATGGGGTGAGCACAGGGCACACAGAGCAACCTCTGAGGATGCAGAGTGAGCCCTGGGGTGTGGGGTAACCCCTGGGGATGTGGGGAGAGCCCCCAGGATGTCAGGTAACCCTTGGGGACGTGGGGTGCATCCTGGGGGCACGGGGCAACTCATTGGTGACCCCTGGGGTGCTGGGGATCCCCTGGGAAAGAGCCCTGGGAGGATGAGGTAAATCCTGGGGAAGCAGCAGGTCCCCTGCGAGAAGGGGACATGGGGTGACCCCCCAGGGACGTGGAGGGACCCCCCCTGCAGCCATGTCAGACCCCAAGCAGCAGCCGCACACTCACTTTCCTGCTCGATGGTGAGGAGGGCGGTGGTGGCCACCTCGGTGGCCTGGGAGGGCTGGTCCCCACCGTCTGTCACTGCTGGGACAAGCACAGGGACATGCAGGCATTGGGAGGGGGCTCAGCTCCAGCACCCACTGCCCCCCACACACCGCTTGGTGCCAGCGACCTCCAGCACCACGGTGGCCCCATGGCAAGCTCCTTGCAATGTCACCCCCCAAGCCTCACCTATGCATGGTGGGACCCCAAGGTGCCCATGCTGGGGACACAAGGGGACACAGAAGACCCCGTGTTTCCCCCCCAGCAAGCCCCCAAGTCCTGGCTATGGCGCAAGGGTGCCAACCCCTTACCTGTGGCTGTGGCGGTGAGCGTCTCCTCGTAGTCCAGTGTCACCGAGGTGGTGAAGGAGGTGATGGTGGACGTGTCCAGCCCTGCGGTGACACAGAGGAACAGAGGTGACACACGGGGGGAAGGCACGAAGCTGTGAAGGCAGACCCAGGATGCTCCAAGGGGATGAGTATGAAGATGGACCACGACCACCCACACACCCCTGCTGTGGATGTGATGGAGATGGGGCTTCCCCCCCAGCCCCGGCGCCAAGGTCCCACCTCAGCACCCAGGGGTCCCCCTCTCCTCCGCACCCCTGGGAGGTTCATCAGGCAGCGCTCGTTAGCGCCAAAGCTTCATTTATTTATCCCTGCCCCACTGAGCAGGGGCCACACGCAACGGTGCCATCAGTGAGGTGCCCGGGTGAGGTGTCAGAGAGGACGGGGACATTTTGGGAGGAAGGGACCAGCCTGAGGAAATTGTCCTTTCTCCCTGCATCAGCCCCTTTTTTTTGGTAACAGCGCAAAAGGGAAAGCACCAGCACTGTGATAACGAGGGAATTCAGGGGGATTATTGACATCAGAAATGGAAATCAGCGGCAGAAATGCATCGCTGGCAGGGATGCCGGCTGGGCCCCGGCTCCTCCTGGACGCGGCAGCGAGGTTTCCAGCCACAGAGCAGGAAAATGGCAAGCGGGCAGATGCGTTTTCCTTGCAAATAAATCACTGCTGGGGCCGTGTCCCAGCCCCTTGCAGCACCAGGATGTCGGCGGATGAGGAGAAAGGATGCTCCCACAGCGAGCGGCAGCCCAACCTTGGGCATGACAGCACCCATCCGAGGCCACTTCTCCTCGAGGACCAGCTTGTCCCTGGAGGTTTTCCCACCTGGGGACAACCCCAAAGATGACCCTGTGGCCCGGTACCTGCGCAGATGACCCCGGCGTCCTCGTGGTGGCCGCAGTTATGGATGCCCCAGCCCAGGCTGTAGCAGGCGGAGAGGAAGGGCTCACTGCCCTCGCAGTTGACGTTGTCCAGGAGGATGCGCCCCGTGCCGTAGCCGAAATAGGCATTGCTCTTGTAGTCCAGGGCCTGGCCACAGCCCGCCTGCCGGCACGCCACGCTGGCATCGCGCAGGCCCCAGTCGTCGTCGCAGACCGTGCCCCAGCTCCCCCGGTAGAAGATTTCCACCCGCCCCTGGCAGGCATCGGCCCCACTCACCAGGCGGATGCTGCCGTCACCTGGAGGGGGACAGCGCGTGGTGAGGGGGACGTGGCTGTCGCTGGGAGGTCACCACGGGCATCGCGGCACAGTGGTGCCATCAGAGCACCCGCGATGGCAAAGAAGCAAGGTGAGAAACGGTGGGGAAGAGGCAACGCTTTGGGGGAGCCGTGGGGAACCTCAGGAGTTGGTAATGGGCAGCACGAGGATGGGGTTCCCAGTGCTCTGCCTCTTGCAGCTGGAGAGTTGGGGTCTTCACAGAGGGAAATGGGGTGTCAATGGTGAATGGCTCACCTTCCCCATCCTGTACCGAGGTGGCGAGGGTCCTGGTGGTCGGCCCTTCGCTGGCTGGTGTGGGCGAGAGCTCTGGGAAGGGAAATAGATGGAGACCCCACGTCCATCCCCGAGCCTGCATCCATCCACTGCTCCCCCAGGCACCCACGCAGAAACAGGAGGGTCTGCACCAAACCAACCCCGATGGGGAGGGAAAGGGGGTTTGTAGCCATGTCCTGCCCAGAGCTCCCTGCCTGGCTGTGGGTGCAGGATGGAACCAGGGCCTCGGCTGCTGGTGCGGTGGAAAGCAAACCCCACGTAGCCGTGCAGAAGGCACATGTAGGGTGTATAAGGGTCGGCACGGGGCCGTTCCACTTTCACATGCTGAGTTCAGATGCTTTTCCACCGCTTTTCTCACCTTTAGGAACATTTCCTACCGAAAAGCTCAGCAGTTTAAAGAACAGCAAGGCAAAAGGGGAAAGAGCAGTTGGGCAACGGCTGATGCAGAGGCAGGAGCGTGGGTGGGTTCGGGGATCGTGACGGAGAGGTTCCAAAGTCCCCGTGGTGGGAGTGACGGGGAACACGACACAGGTCACCCCATGGAGCACCAACGTGCTGAGCCAAGAGGTGACCTGGATCGAGGAAAAGGGTGAGGAAAGGGTGCCGAGGAAGTTTGGCTGACCCAGGCTCTGAGATCCGACTCTTGGGCTCCCTCAAGGTCTCTGCGGACACTTGCAGCACCACAGGCCCCCCTGCTCTCCTCGCCCCCGAGGAACCGACCCTCGTTACCGTTGCATACGACAGCCACGTCCTCGTAGTGGTAGCAGTTGTGGATGCCCCAGCCGTGGCTCCAGCACTCGCTCAGGGCGGCCTCCCAGCCCTTGCAGTCCACATTGTCCAGGAGGATGGGCCCGCTGCCTTGGCCGAAGGTCATGGCGGCCGGCAGGGTGATGGCGTGGCCGCAGCCCAGCTGGCGACACACCACGTTGGCGTCCATGATGTCCCAGTCGTCATCGCACACCGTCCCCCAGGAGCCGTTGTAGTGGATCTCCACGCGCCCCTGGCACCGGCTGGGCCCGTTGGCCAGCCGGATCTCTGGAAGGACGCACAGAGAGGGGTCCCTCAGCGGCCCAGGAGGTGACAAGGACCCGGTGGGCATCACAGGGAGAGCGTGAGCCCCCTCTGCGTCAAATCTCTGCTTCTTAATGAAAACGGCGACCCTTTGCCGTCGCACGAGGTGGCTGTTGGCTTGGTGGTACCCAGCTGATGGTGGGGTTTGGGCTTCTCTTCACCCATGGCCATGAAGACTCAACGCATCTCAACACAAAAATGAGAAGCGCCATCGCCCCATCTACCAATGGCCTGGGCAACAACCCAACGGGAAAGGAGGGAAATGGATGTGTGGCACCACGGGATGCTGTGTGATGGGTGACAAGTGATGAGAAGTCATCAGTGAATTCTTATTGGCCTCAACAGATGCGTCTGGAGTTGGTCCCGTGGGGGAGTTGGTGGGATGGAGATGGTGGGATGGAGGTGATGGGATGGAGATGGTGGGATGGAGTTGGTGGGATGGAGATGGTGGGATGGAGATGGTGGAATGGAGATGGTGGGATGGAGAAGGTGGGATGGAGATGATGGGATGGAGATGGTGGGGTGGAGATGGTGGGATGGAGAAGGTGGGATGGAGATGGTGGGATGGAGAAGGTGGGATGGAGATGATGGGATGGAGACGATGGGATGGAGATGGTGGGATGGAGATGATGGGGTGGAGATGGTGGGGTGGAGGTGGTGGGGTGGAGCTATGGAGATGATGGGATGGAGATGGTGGGGTGGAGATGATGGGATGGAGATGATGGGATGGAGATGATGGGATGGAGATGGTGGGATGGAGATGATGGGATGGAGATGGTGGGATGGAGATGATGGGATGGAGATGATGGGATGGAGATGGTGGGGTGGAGATGATGGGATGGAGATGGTGGGATGGAGATGGTGGGATGGAGATGGTGGGGTGGAGATGGTGGGATGGAGATGATGGGATGGAGATGGTGGGGTGGAGATGATGGGATGGAGATGATGGGATGGAGATGGTGGGATGGAGATGGTGGGGTGGAGATGGTGGGATGGAGATGGTCTCTGCAAGCCGTGGGTGATGGGGATGGGCAAGCACGCCCCCTTGCCCTGCCACATCAAGGGGACCACTCGCTAGGGGGTGATGAATGGCATGGGGACAGGGAGGCAGCAGGAGGAGACAAAGTTCCCCTCTTGGGATAATAAGCGGAATAGGGTTAATCAAAAAATCTCCATTTCCTTTCTGTGAAAGATGTTTTGCTTTTTCTTGCCGCTTTTTGTTCCAAACCAACATGCTTCCTTTTCTAACTTCCCCAAACTCAATTTTTAACCCCAAGAAATGCATTTTTTGACTTGTTAGAGAAAAGAGATGACCCTCACCTGGGAAGGGCAGCAGCGCAGGCTCAGAGGTGGTGCCTGCAATGGAGAAGCACAGGGATCAGCACAGCTGGACCAGGGAGGCTGCAAAATGCGAGCTCAGTGGGAACTGGGATCAAATGGGAGGGACCAAGGGAAGGGGAAGGCGAGGATGGGAAGGACATGGCAGCCCCATGGGCGAGATAATGGGAGGGATGTAACTCACATCACCTCTGCACCAAAAAGGTGGGGACGTGAGGCTTTTTAGGAAGGGCCTTTGATCCCAGTCTGTATTGATTTTTAACACCAAGCCCGCTCCAGTGCTGAAAAAGCCGTGGATGAAAAGGACGTTGTTAAATATTCAGTGTTCATCTCCCTTCATGTCAAAAATCAAAGCTCTGAAACACTCATTGGAGAGTATCCCCCAGCAAAGTCAAGAGACACCTGAGGAAATACGCCTGGCGTCGGCATTGAGGGGGAGCGAGGGGAAACCGGGATTTTGGGAGGGGAGAGCAAGCCTTGCCCCTTCCTTTGATCCAGCCTCTAAAAACCAAAAATAAAGGGAGAAATCCCGGGGTCCCCGTGCCCCAGCTGCTCTGGGTCGGGGGGGCCGGGAAGCACCAGCTGAGGGGGTGGGAACAGCAAAAACCGGTTTAATGCAATTACAGTGTCTGACTACACCTTAATTGCCGGCTTTGGGGCTGGCTTTGTCTTGGCAGGGCTTTGTTGAGGCGGGAAGGTGTTGCCTGCGCCTGCTGTAATTACGCTGACAAAGTCACACCGGGATAATTACTCTGGTGCTCCCGTGGGTGGGTCTGGAGCAGGGACGGCTTTTCCCAGTTTGATTTAAATGATTCTGATCTGCCAGATAGTGCCGGGCAGGAGCGATGTGGGACTGGGGTCATCCCACCCAGGACGGGTCCCATGGGGTGCTCCAATGGCTCTGGGGATGTGGTGACATTTCTGCTCATGGCTCTCCACGAAGAAAACCTCCTGTCCGCGAATCTGAGGCCAGGAGGGAGATAGTGGGTGCCTAAAATTGCCCCCTCCTCCTGTCCCACCACTCACCAGCAGGGCTGAGGAGGAGGAGGAGGAAGGTGGCTGGCATCAGGAGGGACGGCAGTGCCCCGATGTCTGGTGTCCCCTCGCCGTGCCAGCCGGATGGACGGGAACTGTGTCCCATTGCTGCGCCCCGGTCCCAAGGAGATCGTCCCTGAAACAGGCAGATGCGGCGTTAAAGGTGGTGGCCAGGGGAGCCCTCGCCCGCCAAGGGTGACACAGGACCCTCAAACAGGTCCCTCCTCAGCCCCTGCAGGAGCAGTGGCCAGGAGTCGGATGAAAAAGAGCTCAGGTCGGGTTTATGGAGAACAAGAGAGGCAAAACTGGGAGCAGCCAGGCTTTTCTGTGGGAAGGCAGAGACGCCTGGGGACTGAGGGAGCACAGCTTCATTCACCCAGGGATGGAGACACAAACGCCCCGGGGACACCATGGAAAGCAAAGGGGAACGTCAGGCAGAAAATGAGGGAGAGATGAGCCATTTCCCCTTCATTTCCTGCTCCACTCAGGAATTACTGCTGAGATGATGGATTTCTGGCTCTGTTTCTCTCTGCTGGGGTGCAGGATGGGGCTGATCCCACTTTCGGTTACCCCTCGGGAGCCCCACAGCATCGCAGCGGCCCTGGGAGGCAGCGTGCGCTGTGGAGCAGTGCCATCGTGAGGATGCTGCCACAGCCAGGCTGGAGTCGCAGCTGAGCTGAGCCCGAATATCAGCCCCTGCATCCCACACAGCAGCTCCCGAAGGGATGGGCACCACTGCTGCTGCCTGGGGCATCTACAGATGGCCGGAAAATTGGGAAAGGTCATTGAAATCTGCAGTATCCCCGAGAAAAGCCCTCTTCCAGCCTTGTGCTGCTCCTGCTTTTCCATTGCGGGGGCACAGGGTGGGAAGAGCTCTGGGATGGGACCTTGAGCTGGTGTTGTGACCACCCAGCCAAGGCCCCTCAAGACCAGGGGTTGGGTGGGCTCCCAAGCCCCCAGAACAAGCCTTTGGTTTTGTCACCTGCACCAGCAAGAGATGATGGCAGCACTGGAGGTGCAGGATTGAGCCACCACAGATGAGGTACGTCCCTGCTACACCTCCCCACTGAGGGATGGAGCCATCACAGATAGGGTACAGCCCCGTTACACCTCCCTATTGAGGGATGGAGCCATCACGGATGGGGTACGGCCCCGTTACACCTCCCCATTGAAGGATGGAGCCATCATGGATGGGGTACGGCCCCGTTACCCCTCCCCATTGAGGGATGGAGCCGCCCCGTTCCCCCCCCCCATTGAGGGATGGAGCCATCACGGATGGGGTACGGCCCCGTTACACCTCCCCATTGAGGGATGGAGCCATCACGGATGGGGTACAGCCCCGTTACACCTCCCCATTGAAGGATGGAGCCATCATGGATGGGGTACAGCCCCGTTACACCTCCCCACTGAGTTTCTCCTGACCAAGCCCAGAGGAGCCCCGCCAGCACACAGACGGCCCAGAGACAGGGATGAAAACCAATCTACTCCCCGAGGGGGTGCTTTCAATACCCCATTCATCCCGCCCGCAGCACCGAATAAAGTCGCCTTTTGTCCCCGGTGTGGGCCCCGCAGCCGCCCTGCCCCGGCCAAACCCCGTGCCGTGTCCTGCTCTCGGGGACGTTGTCATCGTTGTCATCGTTGTCATCGTTGTCATCGCTGGGCGCTTTTGTGCTGGAGCCAGCGCGTTCCTGCGCCCGGGCAGGGTGGCAGCGGGCATTAACTGCTGCAATGCTGCGCCGCGGCGACCCCAGAAAGGTAAAAAACCCAGAACCCCACCTTTCCTTTGCCATCTGTGCTTCTCCATCCTCAGCCCAACACTTGGGGTTTGGCTACAAACTGAGCCCCCTTTCCTTGCAGCCAAGGGGCAGTTTAAGAATCTCTATACATTATAAACTGCTTTTAAGCCATAATGAGCCACTTTGGCAAGGCACAGACCCCTTTGGTCCACCTTGGGTCCCCCTTGGGTTCCTCTTGGGTCCCCTTTGGTCCCCCTTGGCTGCAGCCGGACCAGCGCCTGCTCTCTTGCTGTCACTTCTTCCACTTTTCAACTATTCAAGCAGCTTCACAAAACCTGTAGTCTTTCAGCTGCCTCCGCCCCATCAGATCATTATTTGTAATTACCGGGAAAAAAAAGCATCATAAATTCACATACCTGCTTGGTATTTCCTTTCCAGTATAAAGATGGGTGTATTTAATCCCAGAAATAAATACTCTCTTTTGAAGTAAAGGAAAGAGCTGGCGAGCCACTTACAAAAAATTAAAAAATCATCGTTGGAATGAACATTCCCATGTAAAAAATAGATGTAAATAATTTTAAACAATAAAAATAAAGAACGAAGAGCAGAAAGATCTCATCCATCAACCAAGCAGTCCCAGCCCATCATCCCTTGGCACCTTTGGGCTACGGCTCTAGCACAGGACGGGAGCCCTGCATCCTCTCCTTGGGCACCGCATCCCGAAAACAGAGGAGGGAGAGAGGAAGAAGAAGAAGGAGAGGGAGGAAGCGCGGGGAGAGGTCTAGGGAGCCATGGCGGGCAGGGAATGGCTCGGGTTTCAGGAAGGCAGCAGGGACACGTCCCTAAATTGGGTGCTGGCGAGACTGGGTTACGCCTCAGGGGAAGGGAGAAGTTGCTTGAGAGGATTTGGGCTTTTGGGCTCCTTCCCACCTCCCTCCTGGGCTCTCCAGCACCAGCCATAACCACCCGGCTGGGATATCACTGTCAGCGTGGAGCCAGCACTGGGACACAGCGGGAGCTGATGGTCCCCTCCTGCCCTGCACAGGGGATTTGGGGACTGCTTGTGGGGTGCCCCACGATCCAACCTGCCTCTTCCTGGGCAATAAATTGCCCTTAGAGGTCCTTTTTTTGCAGGGCTTTTCCTGCCTGGCCATCCAAGGGGCTGGGACATCCCCAGCAGGTCCTGGTCAGCTCAAGGCATTGGTGACAGCCAGAGTCCTCTCGCCCAAAAGTGAAGTCCAGATCTTCTCTAGAGTCCCAAAAATCAAGCATTGGGTTGGTGTTGTTCTCCAGCTCCCCTTTGTGGGAAACCTTTCCCATCCATCTCCATCACCTCCTGTGCTGCCTTTTCCTGTTGTCCTCTTCAGCTCCCAACCAGGGCATCACCCTTCATTCTCACAGCAAGTGTGTGTTTAACCATTTTTAACCATTAGAGCCTTTTGAAGGCAAGGAAAAGGCTGACAACACGAGACTCTTGGGTCTCAGCAGCCTTGAAGGCAATGGAAAAAGGACCCCCAGATTTAGAAGAAGGGCCTGGTGCAATATAAAAAAGCCCCAGACTAAAACAGAAAGCATCTTTTTGTTGGCAGGGGGAAAGGACAGGGCATTCCTCAGGACACTCACACTGCTGTGAGCAATTAGCGGGTTTATAATGAGGGGCAGGTTTCCCCCACTGATTGCTGAGCTAAATGCCCAGGTATTTACCAGTTCCTTTCTGCTGTTGCCTGCGCTTCCAAGAAATCCAACCCCAACTGCGATATCTGGTGTACTTGGCACAGAGGATGCTGCACCTGCAGTGGGACGGGGCCCCCCCTCTTCCCTGCCTCCCTGGGGGGTGTGGGCAGCGGATGGGACCCTGCGTGGTGGGGTCTTGCACCCTGAAACAGCCAGGACCCGGCAGCCTTTGGAGAAGGTGAAGGGATAAGCGCAATCCGAGCGCATTTTGGTTCCCCTGTCCCGGTGCAGCTGGAGCTGTGGTCCCAGCCTCCCCCTGTGCTATTTGGTAGCCCAGGTGCTAATTTTGACGTGTTCTCTGGCATCTGATGAATGCTGAAGGAAGGGCAGGGCAGAAGGAAGGGCAGCTGCAGCCCTCAGAGAGGCTCAGCATCACCCAGAGCTCAGGGAGAGGTACCCATGCCCTCCCCAGACAAAATCGCCTTTGTTCCTCCCATTTATCTGCTTCCTGTGCAACGTGCAGCAGAAATCATCCCGGCCAGGTGAGATGGAGCGGCCCAAGGACGCGGCGCTGACAGACGGATCTGTGCAGGGCATCCAGAGCGGCAGGGGAGCAGGCATGGACTGTGGGGTGGGACAGGGGATGGGAAACGGGAACCTGGGTCTCCTCAGTCACCCAGGGCGGTCACAGCAAAGGCATTCGCTGTGGACCATCAGTTTTCGGGTGTGCCTGTAGCTCCCTCCCTTTTCTGTGCCCCCTTTCACGACATTACCTCTCTGGGGTGACACCTTGCCCCGCACTGGGCTCCCAGCAGTGGGATCCTATGGGACCACGACTGCTTGTACCCCAGGTGTCCATTGGGATCAGTGCTCGCCAGCCTCTCTGCTCACTCTGCATCCTGCTCCTGCTGCAGCATCGCTTGTGTCAGATGGGACGGCTGCGACCGCGGCTCCAGGGCTTTTATGTAAAGTCTAAAGAGCTCGAACTGTGCCAAATTGTGCGATTGAGAAGTGGGGACCTGCATGGGGACAGACGGACTAAGGGAAATGGGGGGGAAGTTGCTGCCCACAGGCATGGGATGGAGATGCTGTGTCCAAGCTTGATACCTGCAATCATGGAGCAGTTTGGGTTGGAAGGGACCTTTGAAGAGCCATCTAGTCCGGGCCGGTGCAGAAAACCTCCGGACAGCATTTTTGGGTGCCACACGGCTGAGTGTGCACTAGGTGGCACGCATTTTCAGGAAGAGAACGCTGGAGGAGCTGGGAGAGGGCTCGGGTTCGGGCAGGGCAAAGCCCCGGTGGAGCAAGGAAACGGGCAAAGGGGGCACAGGATGGAGCAAGGAGGGGGGTGCTGGCCATAATTAGCGCTAATGATGAGGTGAGCATGGGCAGAGCAGGCGAGATGAGCGCGCAACCCAGAGGTTTTTTGGCTGGATTTTGGAAAGGCAGGGATGGAAAGGGACTTGTACCAGGGTCTGTCGTGACAGGACCAGGGGGAGGGGTTTTAAACTGCAAGAGGGTAAGTTGGATGCAAGGAAGAAATGCTTTGTGATGAGGGCAGTAAGACCCTGCTCTGGTTGCCCAGAGGAGCTGCGGATGCTCCATTGCTGGAAGTGTCCAGGGCCAGGTCGGATGGGGCTTGGAGCAGCCTCAGCTGATGGGAGGTGTCCCTGCCCATGCCCAGGGACTGAGCTGGATGGTCTTAAAAGTCCCTTCCAACCCAAATCACCCCTGATTCCGTGATTTCCCTGGAGAGGGCAAGCAGTGGGCACAGAGGGATTGCAGAGCTCACAGAGCACCTCCCACCTCCAGCAGAGGCCAGGGACGTGTCCCCTTCAACAGCCAAACCCCGCTGCCACAGAGCAAGGTGGTGGCCCTAACAGATCCCATTCTGCTTTGGCTAAAGAGTCCCTGGTGGGGACCAGTGGCAGCTGCTGCAGAGGAAAATGAAGCAAAATTTCATCTGTTATTCGCTGCCTGCAGAGGAATTTCTTCCTAATTCCTGCCACTTTGGGTTTGCCTGCTCAGGGAAATTAATCTGAAATCAAGCAGGCTGTGAATGTAGCCCCAGCACTGCGTGGACGGGCGGTTTTGTGAGTGGCCGGGCTATTCCCCAGAGCACCGGGCAAACCCTGGCAATTTAGCAGTGCCTCGAGCATCAGGTTTTATATACATCAGTGTAGGACCTCGAGTCAGAAACATATGAGATGGAGGAGCTGTGGAGAAATTAATTCAGCAGCCTTCCAGCCTCGCTGCAAGGAAAGGAAGGGGGAGAAGACAAATATTTGGCTGGTTACCCTGGTGTGCGAATGACTCAGAGGATGGTCCCACGTCGAGGACTCGCTGCTCTGCATACTGATGTGGGGAGCACGCAGAGAGGGTTGGTTGTGTGTGTGTATGCACGAAAAACAAGGGATCCGGCTGAAAAAGAAGTCTAAGGGACTGTGTTAAACACTGTGGATCTTAGGGTATTTAATACCTGCCCGCCTGCGCTACCACACGGATCAGAATCTGCTCTCAGCATGACTTTATCAAGAGTACCTATCTCTTTTCCAGGCTCGTGTGTATCAATGTGGAAAGGAATAAAAAAAAAAATCATTGCATTGCTCTTCGGTTTCCTATTACAGCCGCAGGAGACAGGAATTTTAAGCACCTGAGTTGTAAATGGGCAACTTATTGCTTAAACAGACACTTTACAAGCCGGCTATCAATCACGTTTGGCAATTAGTAGTACTTTGCGAGTGTTTTGAGCTCAAGTATGTGACAGTCTCATCCATCCTGGAGCAGAGAAATCCATGGGCATTTGCATCCGAGGCTGAACCACAGCTCAGGAGGATTTTTACTGCAGCTGCAATGGTTATGTGCTTGGCGCTATGCATTTTCTGTAAGCAGAAAACTGACCCTATATAAGCTCTGTAAAGATGGATCCCATGTATTTAACCCAGAAAGCAGAGTTTAATAACATCCCTCCATGCCTATGGTGCTCTGTATGGCGTTTTTGCTGTAATTATTGAGCCCAAGCATAATGTACTTTATTTTTATAAGCCCTTTAGAGCAGGGGTAACCCAGGACACTGTGGATGAACCTGTGCTGCTGGGTACAAAGTCCGAGGAAGTTCAAAGCTGTTTTATGAGGGCTGGTGAATGCCTCCTGGGTTCAAAATGTCTTGGTGGGGGTTTTGGCTTCTGCTGCTGGAGCACCCACCGAGGGAAAAGCCCAGGTGGGGTCTGGTCTGCCCCTAGCACAGTATGAAGAAGAAATTTGGTGTTCCAGGATTA